GGGGGTTTGTTAGTTAAAAAGATTCTTTCTTCAATATTTTGGGAATATCTAAGAGGTTTATGTAAGGTGAATTCAATCCCTTTAGGTTTAAATTGCTTACCAGTGATTTGGAAGATATCGATGTTGCCTTTTAGCATGTTTATTTAGGAAGAATCTCAATTTGAGAAATTAAATTGATTTGCTCTAATTTTTGAGTAAGAATTCTTACTTGTTGCCTAAGTTCAGAGTTTTCTTTTTCTAGTTTTTGATTGGTGACTTTCAACTTTTTATTTTCTTGAGCCAAAAAATCCAACTCTTCTTCTAAAAGTTTAATCTTACTTTCCAATCTCTGAATTTTCTTTTCTTTTTCTGGATTTTCTTGTTTAACTTTTTCTAATTCCTGTTTAGTCCTATTTAATTTTTCACCTAAAGCACTTATCCATTTACTTCTACTATTAGGATCAATAAAATATTCAGGTCTTGCTGTCATTATTTTCTCTGGATTAGCAAGTTGTCAAACTTCTAGGTCATAATTAAATGGTCTTAACTGATCTTAAATAACTTTGCATTTAGTATTTGTTTCGTGAGGAGAACATTCTATTTTAGCATAACCTCCTTGTTTCTCATTTTCTGCTTTTTCTTTTGCTGAACTTAAGGTTAAACTCATAGGTAAATATTCTAATCCACTATCTACATCAGTGGCTTCTATGCAGATAGAAGTTAGTTTAGTTAAGTTTTGATAAGATTTTAAGGAACCGTAGAATCGATTGCCATTGCCCGCTGATAAATACATTTTCGTAGTTCCTATATTCAATGATCACAAATTAACAAACCTACTAAAGATTTCTATGTCTGTAGGTTTAATATTGTTATCGTAAACTCTCAAAATTTCTAGCTTCTCAGGATTAGGCAAATCATTTAAAAAATCTACAGAAATTAAATTGTTACTAGTTAACCTCAAAACTTCCAAATTCTCGCACCCTGACAATTTTATTGAAGTCACTTTGTTGTTTTCTATTATTAATTCTCTCAAATCCGTATATTCACTCAAATCTAAATCACAACTAGTGAAATTTCCATATCTATATTTCTTTCCAGTATCAACTACTTCTATTCTTTTGTTAGGAAAATCCTTTTCGAATTGTTCTTGTAATGTAACCATATATTTAATTTTACTCTTTTTTTCTTTATGGGAAAAAGCCTGATCTATAATTCTCTCTCTAACTCTTCAACCTTTCTCCTTAACTGTTCTGCTTGATCATTGGCTTGAAAATACCTAATTACTCCAATCAAACTATCAATCACTCCTCATACTCCAAACGCTAAAGAGAGGTAGAAAAT